TGTTCCATTTTGTCATGGGGTGCTGGAAATTTAAAGGGGCCCTCCCCATTGCGGGCTCCCCGGGCCCGTAATTGCCTTTGGGCCCCTCCCCCCGCCCCTCAGGCTCCCGCCAGGTCCAGAGTCTCTCATGGGTCCCTGAAAGGGCCTCCATTGTTTGCTGTCTCCACCGCCACCCCTCTCCCCATGTGCCACTTTCAGGTTCCTCCACTGCTGGTGGGTTTTCCTTTTGTCATAGGGTGGCTGGCAGGATTACTGGGGGCGCGGGGGGGGGGGGGCCCATGGTGGGGGGGGGGAGGGTGGGGTGGGCGGAGGTTGGGGGGGGGGGGGGGGGGGGGGGGGGGGGGTGGGGGGGGGGGGGGGGGGGGGGAAAGGCCCGTAATCTGCCCATGGGCCCCATGTACCACCTCCTCCATGCTGCTTGCCAGGTACCAGAGTGTGGTCATGGGTCCCTGAACATCCTCCCATTGCTGCTGGTCTATCCAGACAAGATTGAGCATCATGCTGCTCAGTCCAGGTCCACGTGGTCTCCATGGGTCACCTGTACGGCCTCACCATTGCTGGCTGGGTCCTCATCACCACACATCTGCCGATAGTTAGCTCATTCTGTTCAGGAAGTTTCCATCCTCACACTTGTTGCGTGCTGGTTCCATTTGCTGTCATCTGCGCGATGCAGCCCCATGTACGGGCCTCCCTTGCTGAACGGCTGACCAGAGAATGCCCCGTAATCTCCTGGCCCTCGGGGACCCAGCCAAAGGTCCTCAAGGCTGCTGCCAGGTAAATTTGATGATGGCCACCGTACATCCTATAATTAGAAACAATCTGCCATGTGCCACTTTCAGGTCTCCTCACACTCTGGTACGGCCTCCCATTTTGTCATAAGGGGTGGCCTGTATGGTTTCACATTGCTGCTGCCGAATGACTGCCACGTAATCCCATGGGGCCTCCGTTACACAAAAACCTCATGCTGGTGCCAGGTCAGAGTGTCTCATGGGTCCCTGTATACGGCCTCCTCATTGCTGCTGTCTCCATTCGGCAACACTCTGCCAGTTGTGCCACTTTCAGGTTCCTCACACTGCTGGTGGGTTCCAGTTTGTCATAGGCGTTTGCTGGCAGATTACATGGGCCTCCCATTGCTGCTGCCAGGCCCTAATTCTGCTTGGGCCCCCGTACCGCCTCCCTCAGGCTGCGGGCCTCCCATTGCTGCTGCCAGGCCCGAATCTGCCATGGGCCCCCGTACCGCCTCCTCATGCTGCTGCCAGGTCCAGAGTGTCTCATGGGTCCCTGTACGGCCTCCCATTGCTGCTGTCTCCATCGCCACACTCTGCCATGTGCCACTTTCAGGTCTCCTCACACTGCTGGTGGGTTCCATTTTGTCATAGGGTGCTGGCAGATTACGGGCCTCCCATTGCTGCTGCCAGGCCCGTAATCTGCCATGGCCCCCCGTACCGCCTCCTCATGCTGCTGCCAGGTCCAGAGTGTCTCATGGGTCCCTGTACGGCCTCCCATTGCTGCTGTCTCCATCGCCACACTCTGCCATGTGCCACTTTCAGGTCTCCTCACACTGCTGGTGGGTTCCATTTTGTCATAGGGTGCTGGCAGATTACGGGCCTCCCATTGCTGCTGCCAGGCCCGTAATCTGCCATGGGCCCCCCTGTACCGCCTCCTCATGCTGCTGCCAGGTCCAGAGTGTCTCATGGGTCCCTGTACGGCCTCCCATTGCTGCTGTCTCCATCGCCACACTCTGCCATGTGCCACTTTCAGGTCTCCTCACACTGCTGGTGGGTTCCATTTTGTCATAGGGTGCTGGCAGATTACGGGCCTCCCCATTGCTGCTGCCTGCCAGGCCCGTAATCTGCCATGGGCCCCCGTACCGCCTCCTCATGCTGCTGCCAGGTCCAGAATGAGTGTCTCATGGGTCCCTGTACGGCCTCCCATTGCTGCTGTCTCCCATCGCCACACTCTGCCATGTGCCACTTTCAGGTCTCCTCACACTGCTGGTGGGTTCCATTTTGTCATAGGGTGCTGGCAGATTACGGGCCTCCCATTGCTGCTGCCAGGCCCAGGCCCGTATCTGCCATGGGCCCCCGTACCGCCTCCTCATGCTGCTGCCAGGTCCAGAGTGTCTCATGGGTCCCTGTACGGCCTCCCATTGCTGCTGTCTCCATCGCCACACTCTGCCATGTGCCACTTTCAGGTCTCCTCACACTGCTGGTGGGTTCCATTTTGTCATAGGGTGCATAGGGTGCCAGGCAGATTACGGGCCTCCCATTGCTGCTGCTGCCAGGTCCAGGCCCGTACGGCCCTCCCATTGCTGCCATGTCATGGGCCCCCGTACCGCCTCCTCATGCTGCTGCCAGGTCCAGAGTCTCTCATGGGTCCCTGTACGGCCTCCCATTGCTGCTGTCTCCATCGCCACACTCTGCCATGTGCCACTTTCAGGTCTCCTCACACTGCTGGTGGGTTCCATTTTGTCATAGGGTGCTGGCAGATTACGGGCCTCCCATTGCTGCTGCCAGGCCCGTAATCTGCCATGGGCCCCCGTACCCCGCCTCCTCATGCTGCTGCCAGGTCCAGAGTGTCTCATGGGTCCCTGTACGCGCCTCCCATTGCTGCTGTCTCCATCGCCACACTCTGCCATGTGCCACTTTCAGGTCTCCTCACACTGCTGGTGGGTTCCATTTTGTCATAGGGTGCTGGCAGATTACGGGCCTCCCATTGCTGCTGCCAGGCCCGTAATCTGCCATGGGCCCCCGTACCGCCTCCTCATGCTGCTGCCAGGTCCAGAGTCTCTCATGGGTCCCTGTACGGCCTCCCATTGCTGCTGTCTCCATCGCCACACTCTGCCATGTGCCACTTTCAGGTCTCCTCACACTGCTGGTGGGTTCCATTTTGTCATAGGGTGCTGGCAGATTACGGGCCTCCATTGCTGCTGCCAGGCCTGTAATCTGCCATGGGCCCCCGTACCGCCTCCTCATGCTGCTGCCAGGTCCAGAGTCTCTCATGGGTCCCTGTACGGCCTCCCATTGCTGCTGTCTCCATCGCCACACTCTGCCATGTGCCACTTTCAGGTCTCCTCACACTGCTGGTGGGTTCCATTTTGTCATAGGGTGCTGGCAGATTACGGGCCTCCCATTGCTGCTGCCAGGCCTGTAATCTGCCATGGGCCCCCGTACCGCCTCCTCATGCTGCTGCCAGGTCCAGAGTGTCTCATGGGTCCCTGTACGGCCTCCCATTGCTGCTGTCTCCATCGCCACACTCTGCCATGTGCCACTTTCAGGTCTCTTCACACTGCTGGTGGGTTCCATTTTGTCATAGGGTGCTGGCAGATTACGGGCCTCCCATTGCTGCTGCCAGGCCCGTAATCTGCCATGGGCCCCCGTACCGCCTCCTCATGCTGCTGCCAGGTCCAGAGTGTCTCATGGGTCCCTGTACGGCCTCCCATTGCTGCTGTCTCCATCGCCACACTCTGCCATGTGCCACTTTCAGGTCTCCTCACACTGCTGGTGGGTTCCATTTTGTCATAGGGTGCTGGCAGATTACGGGCCTCCCATTGCTGCTGCCAGGCCCGTAATCTGCCATGGGCCCCCGTACCGCCTCCTCATGCTGCTGCCAGGTCCAGAGTGTCTCATGGGTCCCTGTACAGCCTCCCATTGCTGCTGCCAGGCCCGTAATCTGTCATGGGCCCCTGTACCGCCCTCCTCATGCTGCTGCCAGGCCCATAATCTGTCATGGGTCCCTGTACGGCCCTCCCATTGCTGCTGTCTCCATCGCCACACTCTGCCATGTGCCACTTTCAGGTCTCCTCACACTGCTGGTGGGTTCCATTTTGTCATAGGGTGCTGGCAGATTACGGGCCTCCCATTGCTGCTGCCAGGCCCGTAATCTGCCATGGGCCCCCGTACCGACTCCTCATGCTGCTGCCAGGCCCGTAATCTGTCATGGGCCCCTGTACCGCCTCCTCATGCTGCTGCCAGGTCCAGAGTGTCTCATGGGTCCCTGTACGGCCTCCCATTGCTGCTGTCTCCATCGCCACACTCTGCCATGTGCCACTTTCAGGTCTCCTCACACTGCTGGTGGGTTCCATTTTGTCATAGGGTGCTGTATGGCTTCCTATTGCTGCTGCCTCCACCGCCACACTGTGGCTCCACACTCTGGTTTTGGCCCCGTGACTGCCGAAATGAGTGAAGTGTGCGGTGATTCTAAGATCGACGGCACTCATCTGCATGTCGTACTGACTGACAGTATTATTTCTCTTCCCCAGCAGACTCCAAGGGCATTTAAATTAAAGGTACAGTGTTCTGCACTAATAGAAAGGCTCTCTGAAGCCTAGAAACACCCTTTTTATAAGTTAAATTCGCAGCGAATATATTCGACTCGAATCGAATTTATTCCGCGAATTCGCCGAATCAGCCGAATCGAATTTTTGAATACTTCGCTCATCTCTACCAATAATGTCTAACATGCATCCATTAAAGCTGAACTCTTATCAAACAGTTAAATGTGCATTTGAACTACATATACTGTATGTTTACTGTTTTATCTGCTCAACTAATTTGTAATTTAATACATCCATTCTTGCTATTAACACACCTTTGCCACACTTCACAGCCATGCAAGAGACACACCTATGACCTGGTTTATTAATGCAGCTCTTTTGTCAGCTCTCCATCCCAAGCCTACTCAATGGACAAACAATCAGTATCACCGCCTTCTCTCAGTAAGCAAGGAACTGACCCAGGAATCATAACACTTTACCAAGAAGAGGCTGAGTGATCTTCCTAAATAGCAAATGTGTGACAAAAGTACAAATTATTTGGCAGTAAAACAGTAAACATTTTTGTTAAAACTGTAGTTTTCATGGATTTCCACTTCAGTGTGTTCTCCAATGTGTTACATTGCATTTTGAAGGACCATATTCAGTTAGCTTTATTAAAAAAAAATGCAGGTCAACACACCAGAATTTCAGCTAGGATATTGGGCTTCATTGTTCATTATAATTGGTGGTACAGATGTTTTTTTTAAGAAGATTACAATTTAGGGTGGCTAATACAAACAGCAAAAGACATCTGGGCAACATATTAAAGTGTGCTTGTCCTCATTGATTATGTTTATTTACTCATTTATGAATGCATGTCCTCTTGACGTGGTACCATTTATTTAGTCTGTTTCTGAAAAGAACGTGAGTATCTGTAGCTTCTGCAAAGCCGTGTTATTTCTCACTAGTGATGGGTTTTATGTTTGAGTCAAATATAAGTTCAACTTGAACATTGGCCATGCGTGTGTTCGTTGAACACACAAAAACGGTAAGGGCGTTCGGCGGGATTTTCGCCCACCGCACCAAACAGTGCGCTGCGCCCTGACAGTGCATTTTGATTGCCCAAAGCAATGCACCTGACCACAGGTCAGGTGCAATGCTATGGCAAATCACAGCGCATGATGACATCATCACAGTATTTAAGAACTGTCATCAAGGTGCAGCTGTGAGGCGGCTGGAGCGGGTTTTTTCTCTCTTTTTTTCTGGGTCGGCAGTAACGGCGAACATTGTTATTGACGTTGGATCTACTTTGGGGGACATTTTTTTTATTTTTGTTTTAATTAAAGGACTTGTCAAAGACTGCCTCCTGTCATTTTTTGTCCTATTCATTCACATGGGGGGGATCTGGGGACCCCCTGTTAAAGGGAGCTTCCAGATTCTGATTAGCCCTCCACCCACAGACCCCCACAACCACCGATCAGGGTTGTGGGGAAGAGGCCCTTGTCTGCATCAACATGGGGACAAGGTGCTTTGGGGGAAGCCCCTTGCCCCAAAGCACCCCCCCAGAATGGAGACAAGATAAGGCTAGGTGATATTGATATTGGCCAAGGCACTATAAGGGTAAGTTTAACTCAATACAGACAAGTACATACAGCAGTTACAATAAATCGAGGCAGATCAGGGGCGGACTGACAACTCATGGGCCCCCGGGCAATAGGGGATCATGGGGCCCCTGTGTCCTTGCCCAAACTCAAAAATGCCTATGAAAAAGGTACCAGGGGCATCTCATGGGTCCCCCTACTGACCCGGGCCGTCGGACAGTGCCCGAGTTTCCAAATGGTCAGTCCTCCCCTGAGGCAGATGATTTCAGTCACGCAAAGTAGCTTAGCATTTGAGAGATGAGTAGAATCAGTGGTTATAGAGGGTAACAGAAAGGCAGATGTCAGTTGAAGTCATTCAAAGTAGCTTAGCGTTTGAGAGATGAGTGGAATCAGTGGTCACCTGAAGGAGCAGAGCAGAGAAGACATAATGGATGTTCTTGTGTTCAAAGCACCATGCACACAAGGTAAGCACAAAGCACCATGAAGAGAAGATAAGGCTAGGTGTTTGATATTGGCCAAGGAACTATGATAGTAAATTTAATTCAATACAAACATGTACAACAGCAGTTACAATAAGTTTTAGCAAGGCAAATGATTTCTTAGTTAAAGTAGACATCTTCTCAGTCACTCCATAGAATACTGTGTTTGAGAGTCTCCATGGCCTTAACTCATATCAATGCACTAATGTGCGTTGCTGTATGCTATGATGCCAAAAATGTTGTGTGCATCTTTTTGAGCATATCAGGGCATTAGGTAGTCAATTCAAGTGAATGCGCTGCCTTATTGCAAAAACAATAGTTTTAATCTAGACAGCTTTCTCTTGACTTATTATTAGGTAAAAAAAAATGAAATTTTGTTTTAATGTTTTGGAATTTTCAAAGGGTGATCTTTGAGAAATCACCTTTCAGAATTGTCTGTTTGTAAGTAGAGAAAAGCAAAAATGGGCTTTTCCAGCATGAAATTCACATGAAATTTTGGAAAATTTCTTTATATCTCATACAAATATTGTATATATAAAATATATAAACAAAAATGTGTATATATAAAAATACAATACATTGTTGAATATTGCAGACCTAAACATATTTCTTTTTAGTGTAGTAAAACGTCTCTGCAGGTTTTGCTGGCAGCAAAATATAAAATATGGTTTTGCAGCAGCACTTTTTGAAAGAACTTTAGCATTGCTGTAAAATGACAAATCTCTGCTTTATGTTTTTAGTTTCTTTTGATTGATAACGCCATCAATTCATTGTTAAGTACTACTCAAACAAATGAAGGATATTGCTTGTATCAACAAAACGGTGATTGTACCATCCTACGTACACCTCTTCAACAACATGGGAAAAAAAAGATAAAAGAAGAATATAATAAACTTAATATAAAAGAAGTGCACTGCAAGATTTTTTTTTCTGTGGAAGGATTTATTGCTGCTAGGTCACTTTCTATCAGAAAGACAAAAAAATGAGCCTCCGGGATGGCGTTTAGAATTGGAGAGATACATCAACGTGTTTTGCTCATGACTGCACAGTGATAAAATGGTAATAAAAATATCTGATGCTATGCAATTAAATAAAACAAGATTACATGGGCATTTATCAAGCTGCAAAAGAGAAAACATAAACATTTTGATCTCAGAGATGGTAAAAAAAGCAGTGTACTTTGGAGAAAATGTTTCCAAAATCCCTAATACATTAATCAATGCAAAGGCAGTGTAAGTATGAAATAAAGAGCAATTTGTTTTGCAAATTGATTTCACTCTTTTACAATGAGAGATAAGAGTACTCAGCATAAGTCATTTGCATACAAATTAAAGCAAACTACTTACCTGATTCATGCACAAAAAAAGACAATTATATTTTTCAGTATAGTTCTGATTTCATTTTAAAGAGAAAGTACAAATTTGTGATTTTTAATATCTGTTTGGTATATTCATCTGCAACCTACGTGCTGTCTTTATTATCATGCAGTCCCAGATGCCATCATGCTATAGAAGACAGCTATGTCAATTAACCTTGTTGTACTATAAGTGTGTGAAAGACAACATACTGTAATTATCAATGAGGGATTTCTGCAGTTTAAACCCCTATTCAATCGGTGCAACACACCCTAAAATAATATGATAGTGCTCTAAATAGTTGCTGTTAAAACACTGTTAGTGACTTCACAACACCTTTACCAAAATGAATAACAATGAAGTGTAGCGCAGCAGACAAATATCTCATATAAAAATAAATATTAAACAATAATTAAAGTCCCATGAAAAAGTCTCTTATAAAATCACTGTGCAAGTGTTACATAGATACATAGTTAGTCCGGCTGAAAAAAGAAAAAATCCATACAGTTCAACCATAGAAGAAAAGGAAAAAAAAAAAAGTTATAATCCTATACCCACAGTTGATCCAGAGGAAGGCAAAAAATACCCAGCAAAGCACAATCCAATTTGCACCTGCTGGGAGAAAAATTCCTTCCTGATCCCCCGAGAGGCAATTGGATATTCCATGGATCAACTTTACCTATAAATGTTAGTATCCAGTTATATTCTGTGTATCTAAGAAGGAATCCAGGCCTTTTTTGAAGCAATCCACTGAGATGGCTAGAACCAACGCTTGAGGGAGTCTATTCTACATTTTCACAGCTCTCACTGTGAAGAAACCTTTCTGTTTCTTGAGATTAAATTTATTTTCCTCTAGACATAAAGAGTGCCCCCTTGTCCTCTGTGTTGACCTCAGGGTGAATAGCTCTACACCGAGTTCACTATATGGATCACTGATGTATTTATACATGTTGATCATATCCCCCCTAATCTCCTCTTCTCAAGAGAGAATAAATTCAGTTCCTCTAATCTTTCTTCATAGCTGATCTCCTCCATGCCTCATATCAGTTTAGTTGCCCTTCTCTGTACTTTCTCCAGTTCCCCAATGTTCTTTTTGTGAATTGGAGCCCAAAACTGAACTGCATATTTCAGGTGAGGTCTTACTAATGATTTGTGCAGAGGTAATATGATATCTCTCTCTGGAGTCTATACCTCTTTTAATACGAGAGGATTTTGCTCACTTTAGAAACCACAGCTTGGCATTGCATGCTATTGTTAAGCTTGTGATCCACCAGAACCCCCAGATCCTTCTCCACCATTGATTCCCCCAGTTGTACCCCCCCTAGTATGTATAATGCATGCATATTCTTAACCCCCAAGTGCATAACCTTACATTTATCAACATTAAATATCATTTGCCACATAGTTGCCCAATTAAACAGTGCATTGAGATCGGCTTGTAAGTTAAAGACATCCTGTAACGACGTTATTCCACTGCACAGCTTGGTATCATCTGCAAAGACTGAAATGTGATTTTTAATCTCAGACCCTATATCGTTTATAAATATATTAAAAAGTAAGGGTCCCAACACTGAACCCTGGGGTACACCACTGATGACCCCAGACCATTCAGAGTATGAATCATTAACCACTACTCTCTGAATACGATCTTTTAGAGAGTTTTCTATCCATTTACATACAGATTTTTCCAAGCCGTAGACTTTACCTTACACATTAGCCATGTGTGGGGAACTGTGTCAAACGCTTTTGCAAAATCCAAGTATACTACGTCCACCGCCACCCCTCTGTCCAAGGTTTTGCTCAGATTTGTTTGACAACTTCTGTCTTTCATGAATCCATGCTGTCTGTTGCTTAAAATATTTTTTTTCCAGCAAGAACTCATCTATGTGGTCTTGCATTAAACTATCCAGTATCTTCCCAACTATAGAAGTTAAACTAACAGATTTATAATTACTTGGTAAAGATTTTGACCTCTTTTTAAATATTGGCACCACATTGGCCTTACACCAATCCAGTGGTACTATGCCAGTCATTAAAGAGTCCCTAAAAATTAGAAACAATGGCTTTGAAATGACAGAGCTCAATTCTTTAAGGACCCGTGGGTGTATGCCATCTGGTCCAGGTGCTTTATTCACCTTTATACTGTCTAAATATTTTTGGATCATATCCATTGTGAGGCAATGTGGATCATCTGGAGCTGTGTCAATACCATGCCCCATACTCCTTTGTATACACAGAGCTGAAGAAGGTATTAATTAAGTGTATAAGATAAATCTTCTCTCTTCTTCAATGTCAACCGTGCCACCACCATTAGGTAAAAAATCTGCTCACCTCACTTTATGACCTCATCAATAGGTCATTATGCGCGCAACATGTGGACAGACTTGTGTACACTCTCTGTGGTCTTCCTCCAGCTCCTCTCCTGGCACCGCCACAGTATACACTCCTCCAGCTGATAATCTTATATAACATGTATTATGGAAAACATAAAAGTGGAACAATAGTGCTTTCTATTAAACAATTTATTAGCGCCCAGATTAAAAACACTTACAAAATGTAAGAAACAAGCCAGCATATAATGTATAATTTCATTACATGGCTCACCACCCCACTGTCAAAGATGGTCTTCAGTTCAAAATATCTAGGGCTCAGTTCCTTCCTCCGTTATGCATTGGCTTCCTCAGTAGGTAGGGAGTCGGCAAATGTGGAGCCTTTAAAGAACCCATGTATTATTTCTCCCTACCCCTAGAAATGGCATCACTTCCTAGCCACTGGAGGTGATGTCATTGGAAATCTTGGATTACCTCCGAACCCGAAAGTGATGTCACTGGCCATCTTGGATCATCTACAAACATGGAAGTGATGTTGTCAGCCATCTTTTCTTATTAACAATTTTTGTTGGTTTTCACACATATATATATATATACAAACAGTAAATGAAAGAGGAACACAAGAGAAAGAGGGAGCACATCGATGGTGAAATCTGCATGGTTACAAACATAATAATGTCACATAGCAACAGTGGGGAGGCCATTAGAACCGTACATTTGGAGAAAGGTGGGAAGAGGTGAAATTATCCCATGGGTGCCACACTGCCTCGAACACAGCAATAGAACAGGCTTGTAGAGCAGTCAAGTATTTAATCTGTCTCACATCAGCAATAATTTTAAACAGAGAAGGCATCGAAGGAGGTATAGAGGATAGCCAACACATAGGAATGCTTCTTCTAGCCACAGTCAGAATATGTGTAGTGAGTTTCCTGGCCATTTTGGGAAGACCTGGGAATGGCAGGCTCAATAAAAAGTATAGGGGCTCAAAGGGGAGAGAGGTATGCAATAGCAATTGTAAAAAGGACAAAACCTCTTTCCAAAAAGGAACAATGGATCCACAGGTCCAAAAAATGTGAAAGAGGGAGCCAA